CAGGGAAAAGAGGATATATTCTCAAGGCAAAACCCAGGCAAGGCTGAAACTTGATTTCCTCTTCTTACAGGGTGGATGAGGGATCACGAGGGGACAGTTCTTTTCTCTTACTATTTCAGAAAGTCATCACTGTCGTTTCATGGGGAAAGGCTTTCCCATCTCATAAACTTTTTTCATCCCACATGCGGTTACCAAATTAAAATTCTGAAGGGAAGTATGAAGCAGAAGTCTTGTGTTATTCAAGGTACCATGTTTCTATTTTATTTTACCTCATACTCTAATCACTTAAAATAGTAACCACTAGTTAATTATCTAGCTGGACATCTCTCTTTCTGGACATCTATCACTGCTGGGTGTCAGTTTTCTCCTCTTTTCATCAGAAGACGCATCAGCAAATGTGTGTGAGAAATTTTGTGAAAGAAATAAAACACCTATGATATATTTTTTTCTCAAAGCCAACCATGTGCAGGCAGGAGCATGAGGCTAAAGGATTTTCCCCATGCTGTATTCCAGGATGGTACAATCAGGTTTCCTTATTTTCTCAAGCATTTCTAAAAAGTAACTGGAATGTGTAGGATATAATATTTTGATTAGAAAATGCCAAAACAGATGATTTTGAGAATTTCAGAATTTACTCCCCCCTCCAAAATAATAAAAAGATTAACTTATGAAGCCTTTCTCTCTTTATTTCTCTTTCTTTCTTTTGGTGGTAGAGATAAGCGTTAGTCTTTCAGTGTGTTCACAAGAGCTAGTTACCAAGTCATGAAGTCTGATTGCCAAGACATCCTCTTTGCAGATAGATAGCTGTAAAATGAATAATAATATTCAGAAATTATGTAGTGCTGGTATAAAGTGTGTAAAACTTCAGTCACTTAGACCACTTACTGCCCCCCAGCATTGAGAAGATGAACAGAAAGAATTACTTTTACTTATAGGAAAGTTAAGCAAAGAATGAAATGTTATACCAGGTCAGAATGGGCTTTCCAATGCTGGGCTGCCTTCCTTGCTCAGTGGTAATAGAAAGAGATACTGAGTTTTAGAGAAATGAAAGTCTGTCAGAGATCTGGGCTAGTAAGTGTAGTTCCTTTGTAACTACTTAGTCAGCACAGTGAAGATTTCACATAAAATAAAAAATGAAAAACTTCAGTCAGTGGTGACAGTGAAATCTGACATGATTGTGCAAGGAAATAATTGGGTAAGTGATGTAAGGCATTGCCTGAACAAAAGGGTATGAAACCTCTACTTTGCATGAAGAATCAGAAGATTTCCAAGCAGCAAAATGAAAAAATGCTTTGGTTTCATTTCCTATAGCTTTTGGAAGAGATGACAGTCCAGCTGTGACTGCTGAGCTACATACCAGGACCATTCAAATTACGTGGCACAAGACTTTTCAGTACTGTTCTGGCATCTCTTTTACCTAGATAACAGCTAATGCTCAGGTAAAGATTTTGGTATTAGTAGCGAGCGTTCATTCCTATCCAGCATGTGCTCAGTACATACGTACCAACGAAGACAATTGAAGAACTGGATGGTCTTAAGCCATTGTCTCTTAGAAGAGGGGAGATATTTACAGATATTCCATTATGTATGTAATGATACTGATGGCTCAGGAGAGACAATGTAGACCAAATGCCCTAGATTGAGCTTTCCTCCCAACTTTATTGCCATTTTTGACCAACAAGGCATGTATAAGACATGGAGACCTGTTTGGATACATTGTGTGGGAGCAGGAAACAAACCAGCCGGAAGCAAAGCAAGAACTTGAGAGCCCTCACATTCTGATCACCTAATCCAGGTTGTTGCTTAGTTTCAAGGTGATTTGGAGAGGTGATGGCATATGCTAATAGAAAAAAAAGTTATGATAAAAGCCATAAATGTTAACATGGCACAACTTATTCAAATGTAAAAAAATTTTTATATTAGAATACATTTTCTGTCCTGTCACCAGATTATGCATTTACCACAGAATATTCAAATGTTTCTCCAATCATTCAAATGTGCTGATGAATAGAAGTACTGAAATAGGAATATAACTTTGATAGTCAGAAGACTGGTACCTGGAAGTCAAACCTGAACTCAGAAGATAGCATGACAAAACTATATGTAATGAATTTCTTCTTCTTTGATATTGTTTTTCAATTTATTGTCTCAGTTTATGATACAATACTCATGGTGATACTTAGTGGGCAAAGGACCAGACTGAAACTGGAAGATAGTGTTTGTGTTCCTTGATTTGCATTTCCAAGATGCCAAATCCCATCGCTATTTGCTCCCATTTTCTTACCTAGAAAATAAGATATTTGTTTGATTGCAGTCTTCTCTGAAATTCATGAGATCTAGTGATGACATTAGCTATATAAATCCCCAAAACTTCCAACCAGCATCTACAAAATGTGCACTGGAACAATCCCTCCTTTCTGGTATTTCTTATTCCTATTATTCGTAAAAAATTAAATTAACATTCTGTTCAGGAATGGGAGATCAAAGGGAAATGACTCTCCTGCAGACAAAATGCATGTTTGGTATGCTTAACACAGCAGTCTAACCTGATGTGGTGTAAGTAGTTGTCTGCAAAGGAAGGCAGTGTTACTGACTTCAGCTTTCATCTCCTGCAATTATACCTTTTGCCTGGTTGGTTCATTACAGCAATTAATTTCATTCAGTTATGTTGTAATTTGTTTGAGTAAACGGCTCCAAACTATTTATCTTCCTAGCAGCACTGCTTTACACATACATAATTCAACAGAAAGCCATTATTCAAATCAGGACATGTGGCAAAAGAATTTTACTTGATGACCCAGTCCCTCTTGCAGCTGTATGTTTCTGACAGTTTAAAGAGCACCATATGTAACAGGAATCACTTTCCATATGCCTTTGACATTTATTTTCCAACATTTTGCCAAAGAATCTCTCCAGTGTCCAGCTGATATCCTTTGACATGTGTCTCTTGTAAAATTTTCTTAATTTTCCCATTCATACAAACTCATACCCATGTTTAGCAGTGCCACAACATGCATTTTGTCCTTGTTTGGTTTGTAAAACAATCCAGATACTTTCACATCACCGATACAATCAAAAATCATAGAATCACAGAACCCTTAGAGCTTGAAGAGATCTTTTAAGATCATCTGGTCCAACTCTCTTGCAGTGAACAAAGTCATACACAGCTAGATCAGGTTGCTCAGGGCCTGATCCAGCCTGGCCTTGATAGTCTGGTATTGCTATTGTGTTGCACGTGAGTTCACTTTGTATTTCTAGCATGATGACTTTATCTTTGTGCTATGCTTTGTGGAGTCACTGAATAGCCATGATTAGCATTATCACCTCACCTCCATGGCAACACTTCTGGCAGTTAAGTCATTTCTTAAACTGTTTTAATTTTCCAAGTTAAAGCCAATAAGGATATTGTCTAGCATCAATACTTCAAGTGCACTTACAGCCACAACATTAGTGCAGTACTGTCTCTGTTGTGGGATGCATGCCATCTTGGCATGATGAGGTTCCCATGGAGTTTTGTGTGTAGATTTTGGGCCTGTCACTGTTGATGGGATTTGCATCTTCTGTCAGCAAAATGGCAGTTCTCTGTTTGCAGTGGTCATAGCAGCCTAGCCTTACCCTGTACATGAAGATCTTCTTTCAACCTACAGATAAAAAACTATTAATAAAATTAATGGCCATTTCTTGAGGTTGGAGGTGCTATACAGGAAGGGGAAAACTTGTTGTAAGGAACATCTGAAGACTCATCCAGGACTGCGCTGGGGAGCTCAGATCACTCTTGTTCGTAGCCACTTTGAGTCCATTCTGTTTCTCGTGGGCTACAGACATCCTCCGCTGAGGGCTGTGTGAACTGAGCCCACATCTTCCTCCTTCCTAATCCTCTCCCTTTTGCTTTTTTTTCCTATGAGATTCTTTTTCTTGTTCTCATGAGTCTAGTACTCATCCTGCATTCATTTATTACAGTCTGAAATTACTCTGACTTCATCATAAAGCTCTGCACAGTGCGCTTTCTTTTATGTAATGATATTCCTCAAAGCAGAGTTCAGTGCCTACACAAGAACCCCATCTCCAACAACCTTCAACAGATATGTTGCAGGGATCTATATACACTTGGAGATCATCCTGTTTGTCTGCTCCCACTGGGCTTTTTTTGAACAACGTTCTTCTATTTTCATTTTTCCCATATGTAAATGCAAGTTAATACGCAGGTGAGGAACTACAATCATCCATGGCAACACTTCCAGCAATTTAGTCATTTCTTAAACTGTTTTAATTTTCCAAGTTAAAGCCAATAAGGACATCATCTAGCATCAATACTCCAAGTGCACTTACAGCACTTGACACAGATGAGTGCCTTGAGTAGAAAATATCCTGCTTTTGCAGATAGTTGGGATCATAGAGATATTTAATATATCATTGCATCCATGCTAGAACCTCTTTTTCTTTAAGTCCAGTTTGAATTCAGGGGTAAATAATGAGAAAGAGCTAGAATAAACTTCAGAATATGGAAAGAATGAAAGTAGTGTTTCATGAAAGGACAGCACTAAGGAGATTCAAAATTTAAAATGATTCTGATATATTCCACAGTAGTCTCAGTGGTTACTTTAAAAGAATACCAGAAATGAGTTGACTGTTATACTGACCCCTTAACCACATGATATGATTTTTCAGATAGCTTGTAAGAGTGTGCCTGAGCCACAAGGGATACTCCTCAATCAGTATCATAATTTCCCTCTTTTTCCCCACCATGAGTAAAAGAAACTTCAGAAATTGCCACGTAAATTTTACCCTCCGATGAACCACTGAAAAATTTTCCAGGACCATGCTTTAAGAAAGACACTTTCGAGGGATTCCCTCAACCAGCCCATAGCAAAATCTTATCTAACACTATCTTGGCTAAATATACACAGCCTGTGATGACGAAATAAAAAATTTCAAGACCAGGTATAAATACCACTGACAGGCAGATGAAGTTCACTCGTCTACTTTCTTCTAATAGAAGATATAACTATTAGAAGCTGAAGCTCACTGAGCTTATATCTCTCAGAAGTTATCTGAGCACTTGAACTCAGACATCACCAAGAAGATGACTTGCCAGACTTACAACTTGTTTGTTCTGTCTGTCATTATGATCTATTATGGACATACTGCAAGTAGTCTAAATCTTGTTCAACTTCAAGACGATATAGACAAACTGAAAGCTGACTTTGTAAGTATTGCCTTCTACTGCATTTTTCTCCTCCTTCTGCTTCTTGTGCTGTAGATACAAATGCAGTAGTGCTGCAGAGCACTGCTTGTCCTAGACCTCAGTGTGTATCAGTATATAATATAGGGTGATTATAGAATTATTTTTTCTGTTACTTTTTTTTTTTTTTTTTTTTTTTACAATAATACGGTCAGTTTCTTTGGTTTTGTCAGCTTTTGCTCTCTCACTAGTATGATTCAGTTCTTCTTTCAGTTTTTCATACAGTGACTGTTAATGCAGCTATTTGCATTTATTTCAGGGACACTCCACCTTTCACAAGAGAATCTCCCAGCCCTATTTGCTTTTGAATTCATGAAATATTTTATTTCAAGAAATCTTAATACAGTTTATTATGAATGAATCTTGACTCAATTCTATTCAGATGCAATTTACTGCCACTTAAATAACCTCCAGGCATCCTAATTACATGTCTGTGACTATAGTCTGATGTGGAAGTGTTAAGCAATAGTACCTTTTCTCAGACAGAATTCTGATAACTTAATGACTGTAATAGTAATTCACCTGTCTTCAAGTAGGAGGCATTGAAGAAGTCCACTGGTGACTTCAGCTGGGATTAGTCATAGAGATAAGAGATCTACAGTAGCGGCACTTCATCTTAATCTTTCATCTTAATATACCTTTGGTTTTGTTTCTGTTTTTCTTTAATCACATGAAAGTCGCAGCAAGAGTCTGCTCCTATTTCCAGCTCTGATTTTTCAGAATTTTGTGCATGTGAAAATTGAGATTTAGTAGTCAATGAATCACCTCAGAGATGTGGTTTAGTCCTTTATTATTCCAAACTGCCAGGAGACCAGCTGTAAAATTGGCCTTATATCCTAAATTTATCATTAGTACAGATAAGAGACATTGATACTAGAAGATACAGAACTTGGTCTGAGAGATCTTAAGTGCAGATGAGCTTCTGGCAGAGAAATTAAAAACTGCAGTCGGCAGCAGATGCTTGCCACCCTTCAGAGCTGCAGAGTCAGCTTCAGCAAAGTGCTCAGCACCAGCAGCCTATCAGCCTGCGGGGTTACCGTCAGCCTGCAAGCTTTCCCATTACACTCACGGTATTTAAATTACCGAGCAGACGAAAAAGGAAATAGCAGCTGTTGTATATAAAAAGAAAGACAAAACATAGAAAAGGAAATGATTAAGTTTGCCCTTCCTTGGTGGGAGAACTGTACTGTTGTTTCCTAGAGCCTGTCACAGTGTGTGGCTAACACCTGATGGTTAAACTCTGACCCTGCAAGCCTCTTGGTAGCCCACAACTCTTACATATCCCCGTATCTGACTGTGGGCTACTGGGATACTCTCCAGTTTTGCAAATGGTAGTTTATAGTACAGTTTCATAGCTAATTCCTCTTTGTTCCACGTGAGATTGTACTGAGACAGAGTGAATTTGAGCCTGCAGGTGCGACCAAATCTGACAATGCCTAGCCAGCTGCTGGGCTTAGTAAGTTTAATTCTCAGCTGTCAATAACAAAACTGACAGAGAACATTCGGTAAAATATGGTGGTGAATGGCTCTGTTCATAAGCTGTAGCAGAAAATTACATTTAGAAGAAGACTAATGGGGTTCTTGTTACTATATAGTCATCTACTGTGATTTAGTGCTTAGATAATCTCTTTGCAAAGCAGCTCAGAAGCCAAAAGCATTGCAGTAATTACACATTAGTGGTGCAAAAATCATGTGTCTGTGTTTTTTACTGTTCATTTGAATGGAGAACACTATTTGCCTTGCAATAAGTAGTGTTTATATAACAGATGCTTATGTTCTCTGTTGCAGAACTCAAGTCATTCAGACGTAGCTGACGGTGGACCTATTATTGTAGAGAAACTGAGGAACTGGACAGAGGTGAGTCAGAAAACATCTCATGTGCTCTGAAGGGCACTTTTGGTAAAAAAAGCAGCTCCAAGTCTAGTGTAACCAGCCTGGGCGGAGAGAACACAAGCAGAGGCTGCTTCAGTAACTCGGAAATGAGAAAGCAGCTTCCCTTAAAACGCATCCCTTAAAAAAATTCAGTATGCTTTATGCTGCACCATGAACTGATCCTGAGGTACAGCCAAGCTCCAGAGAGGGCTTACAGCATCTTCTTCGTCATGCTGTCACTAGAAGCAGAGAGGACCTTGGATTTTAGTTTCCTTCATTTGCCTTTTGATGGTCACTCACAGATCTTTCTTTTTGACTGCATTCTTCAACAGAGAAATGAAAAAAGGATCATACTGAGCCAAATCGTTTCAATGTACTTGGAAATGCTTGAAAACACTGACAAGTCAAAGCCACACATCAAACACATATCTGAGGAGCTCTATACTCTGAAAAACAACCTTCCTGATGGCGTGAAGAAGGTGAAAGATCTCATGGACCTGGCAAAGCTTCAGGTAAGACTCTTTGTCTGCCTCCAAGGCACTTGTGACCTTGTGTTTTTAGAGTCCTGACGCAAGGCAATGTTGGTTTGGTAACGTACCTGGTAACCCCTGGCCGGCTCCACTTGGGCTGGAAAGTGTGATGTTTCCACTGCATGTGGGAATTGCACTGGGGCTGCTCACCCTGAGCCTTGCCAGAGCCTTGCCAGAACCCACTGGGTTGGGAGGTTGTGTCTGGCTGCAGCACATCTCTGTGAGCTCTGGGTCACCCAGATTGTTGGATGAGTGCTTGTGGTGTGAGTCACCGGCCTCTGCTGATCCCTGTGCTCTGAAGGAGCTGGCTGCTGGTGGGTACCGCAGGCACAACACAAACCACCAATGATAACAGAGTGCCTCCATTGCACAGCATGTGCTTGGTCTGTTACACTGCAAAGTAATAGAGAAGGCAGAAAACAGAAATCTGTGAAAAAGCGGTTCTTAGTTTCAGGAACCAGGCGGTAGAATAACTGAAAGTTTCCAGTTTCTGTTCTATGTCATTAGCAGTTTAGCCTGAAGGATGCAATCCACAAATAAATACAGCTCTTGGTGTGACATTTGTTCTGCCTGTTTCTTGCTCAAAACAGATGAATGACTTGAGAATCCAGCGCAAGGCTGCAAATGAGCTGTTCAGCGTCTTACAGAAGCTGGTGGATCCTCCGAGTTCCAAAAGGAAAAGGAGCCAGTCTCAGAGGAGATGCAATTGCTAATGGCATCTTATGAGCTTTTGTGCTCAACTATTTTAAATTTTACAATGCACAAATTTTATTTTTTGATTTTTTTACTGAGTTTTTGCATTTATTTATTAATATTTAAGTATTCTAAATAATTATTTATATTTAAAAGAAAACAAACAATGAAAGTATTTATACCTCCTACTGCTATGTAAGAAACAATTTTGTCTTAAAATCCTGTCTACCTGTTATATGTTTGTTGACCTGAAAATACTGACTGAGGTGATGTTTACCAAGTTTCTCTGTGGAAATACTGAATTGACGTTGATACTGCACTCAGGAAAACCCATTCATATCTGCTCAGCTCTAAGCATATGTAAATCCAAATCAAGGAAATACACTTGCATTAAGGTGAGAAAATGCTGAAGCACTTTTCTGAACTGGGATCTGGGTGATTTATTGCTGATAATTATTGTTATGCACTGAAGAAACTGAGAGGCCAGGCTACTTGGCAGCTCCAGGAATTGTGACAAACTCTATTGTACTGACTTAACTTCAACTCATTATGAATGTCTCTGTACATTTTTGTATTGAATCATCTAAGTGTGTCTGACATCAATTTATTTATTTGGAAGTAGCAGTTTGGAAGATTTTATCTTAAGGTCTGTATTTTTGTACTTGAGTATTATTTAAAACTTTGGATTTCACGATGAAAGTTTCTTAAAATTTGGATATTAAATAAAGAAAATAAGTAAATAATTAAATTTTCTTGAGCTTTTATTCACCAGAATCTCTGTGAAAAGTAGAATTTCAATTTTGCTTGATGTCGTCACAAAAGACAGCCCTACACAGGTAGATGAAGGCATATTTCAGTTCCTTGTCTCTGCTCAAGGTCTGGGAATGGATTTGAATAGTCCCAGAGGCTTAGGCTTGGGCTTGGAGAGGGGAGTTCATGAGACTTCCCAATTTTCAGGACTCAAGGGTGCTACCAAATAAATGATCTAAGGGCAGACTGATTGAGCTGACTGGGAACAGGGCAGGTTTTCTTTGGGATTCCTGCCAACATGAGACTTTCAATCCACTCCAAACTTTGGCTGAATCTATAAGCTGAAGCAGTAACACATCACTGTGCCCAAAATTCAGTTGCAATAAACCCAATGGGTTTCACTACAATTGCTGAAGCCTTTTCTACTTCCTCAGGTCCAGTTGTCTCCCCTGGTGTAAGACACCTTCATTCATGACCCCATTCTATAGTCATAACAAAGTGATTCAGTAATCCTGAAGACTTGAATTGATTTTGAAGGAAACAGCTGTTCTTGTTTGTAGTCATCACAGCCGTGCATGTGTTTGTGACATGCAAGTGATAGAATGCGTGATAGATTTCTCCAGTTTATGGACTACACATGAGAAACCTCAGTACACATTTAACATAGGCAATGCGTCTTTCTGTGTATGCATCTTTCTGTGTATGTACTGTTACATAAGGTGTTACTGAAAAGGGAGCAGACAACTGTTCTCCAGGGAAGCAAAGCCAGCTGCAGCAGCTTCTGTACAAAGGAACAAGCCGAAGTTTCATTAGGCACTGACAGTGAGACAATGACTCTCCCTGCCCCTCCTGCGTAAATGGATTTTTGGAGTTTACAGCTAGAACTGGTTAGCAGCTCAAAGGGAAATTCCCTGTTTCATTAGACTACAAACTGAAATCTCTATCTCTTTCCACTCCTTTCCAAAGGGTTCCACCAGAAACAACTAAAGGTAGCTTCTATACATCCAACAGAGACAACATTTGCCCATCCATCCTCCCTCAGTTGTCCACACCCATGCAAAACACCATTCCCTGCTCTATGCCATCAGATGTATTCCTGCTGCTACCCCATCAAATCTGGCTCAAACAGCTGGCTATTTTGGGGGCAGGTAGTTGCTCAGGCACATCATGTTGGATCTCCTCCGAACCTTCCCCACCCAGTGTGAGTCTGTAAGACCAGTTCTGCAGGGTGCTTAATATAATGTGCTGAACCAGGTGTTCCCAGTTTTGTTCCATTATTATGATAAATGTGCTAGATGAGAACACCATAAAAATACCACTTCACAAGAGCATCAGTTGTGTACCATACAAATGAGGGGAAACACACATGAAAGCCTGTCAGATCTTCTTTCATATCCAAGGGAGTCCTGGATCTCCTGCACTGTTCCTCATAATATCCAACTAAGGAAAGCGTTTCCAGCTAAACTATAGTCAAGTGCAAAATGGATTTTGATGGTTGCCCTAAATCTTTTCAAAGAGAAAAACAGTGGAAATGCTGGATACTTCTACAGTCAGTACAATTTTATCCAGTGATGCAGCCTGGGAGACCTAACAGATGTGTGTGCACAGGAGAGAGATGGTATCATCTACTCTGTGGTAGTTATAATTAGAAAAGGAAAATAAATGGTTTTTAAAAATGGATTGATTCAGATTGTTTCAGAAAGCCTGTGTATTTGATGCACCACTTCTGCAGTACATTAATTCTGTCCTTGCTTTCTTCTCCTCCACATGGCTCTTCACACTCCTCACTTTGAACCTGATATTCACTCTTCTCACCCCATCTTGGGGCTGTGAGGGACAAGGAGAGCCTCTCTAATCCCTCCAAGTGACTCCTGCATTTAGACATTCACATTTCACTCCACCACTGAATTGTCTCTGTTGCAGGCTGAGCAGTCCTCAGCATGCAGTTATCTCCCAAACAGCAGCCATGCCATCACTTTGTTCCTTTCTATTGATTCTATTGATTGTTTTTGAGATATTTTCCTGTATTCTCTTTGAGATAAGGAACCAGGGCCATACAGCAGGCTGCAGTCATGCTGTGCCATAATGATTTCTGTTTTCTGATGATTCTTTTCTAACAGTTGCTAGTTTTCTATTTGACATTCTTACAAGTACTCAGACAAAACAATTTTTTTACAGAGCTGGCTGCTGAAATCCTAAAATCTTGTTCCTTAAACACACAAGCTTATTCAGCACCTGTCATTGTGTGTATAAAATGAAGATTGCTTTTTCTCGGGTGTATAATTTTGTAATCATCAGCACTAATTTCAATCTGCCAATTCACTGCCTTGTCACTCAGCATTTTAAAGTTCTTTAACAGTTCTCTGCAGCTGGACCTCCTCTTTGCTATCCTGAACACCTCAGTACATCAGCAAACTGATGTACATTCCACAATTCACCCCATTACCCAAATTTCAGATGGCCAAATTAAAAAGCACAGGCCAGGCATGCCTTCTCATGATTAAACTCACTCAACTGCAAAACCCATATGTTGAGCCCCTTGCTTTATTTCTTGTCTTTTAACCAGTTGTGCGCTTATGTGAGGCCTTTGGTTTTACATAACAACTCAGCTTCACTTGCAGCTGTACTGTGAAAGTCAGTGGAGACTCTAGCAGATTCAAGGAGATGATGTTTTGACTCTGCCCTGACTCTAGCTTAACAGTGAGGTGTGACTTCCTCTCATAAACGTCATATGTATTAATTTCTTGTGCACCACATTTATCCACGAGCCCACTCTGTCTTGAAATTGCATGGTATGGATGTCACCTTTACTGGCTTGCAAATTGCTGGGATTCCCCTGAGGCATTTTAGATAACTGATAGCCAATAGGACCACTTTGTGTAGGTACAAACCTTGTGCCTACAGTTTGTAGTTCAGCCGTTTCACTCCAGAATCCCACAGGACTCCTGGGTCAGCGCTGTCATTTCAGATCTGTCCTACTCACCCCCTTCTCCTGAGTGACTCTTCCAGGAGTGACCATGCTTTTATTTTGGTTTTGACCAGTGGGAGGCAGGGGAAATGGAATGTCCAAAAAAGGGCTGCAAGTTGAAAACAACCCAAACCTGGCAGAGAGTAGTGGGGTTTTCAGCCTAAAATAGCTACTCATACAAAAACTCTCACATCTCTGCTACCTTGTAAGAGACAGAGGAGTGATAACAGCAACTTCTGCAATGCATAGGATGTACGTAGGCTGCTGAAGTAGGTGAGGAACAGCATAATGGTTGAGCAACAGCAGCAACGACTTCTGAGTGCAGCTTGTTCTAAAGCAGCATGGGAAATATGACTCCCAGTTTTCCAGCTTCCTCTTTTCTTCTTTTCTTTCTGAGGTGCTCCCTCACAGTGAGCATATTCTTCCTGGGAAGGCATAATGAAGGCTTGTGCTGGAAATTTAACTGCAGGTGTAAGCTGGGTAATTACTTGATCCATGGCAAAAATGTCTGCATATGCTATGGCCATACCATACCTGAGGGAGCTCGAAATAAAAAAGGTTTCAGTTTCCTGTTGCACAAAGTAAGTCCAGCTCCTCTCCATGCTGCACTACAGATAAACATTCTGTTTGAGAGGTTTTATGTAATCATTCCCACAGGAAAATATTCCTGAAAAAAATGTATCGTCTCTCTCCCATAGATTCATATGCCATGAGCCCCAAATCAATGGCACTTGGAAGGAAAGTCATTCCATAATTCATAGTTGTACGTTATCCTCAGGCTGTTAATGTCACTGGCTCTAAGGAAATTCCCCCAGATGCATTCTTCTTATAGGTCTCTGAAGGTTAAAAGACAGACGTTACCCACTGACATCTTTCTCTATTCTATGTGCAGCTCTCTCCTCCATCCACTTTCTCATCTCCCTGCATTAGCTGCTGATCCTGTAATACCACCCTGAGCTGCCCTCCATAGATTTATTGTCTCAAAGTCTGCATATAGGTGTTGGTGATTAATGTTCTTATAGGAGCAGGTTAAGACTCATCATTTTATTTTCATCTTTAGATGGAGCGTTAAATAGAAATAGTCTGCAAATAGTTCTTTTTTAGAAAGTTAAAATCTTCTTTCAGTTTTTTATTAAACATCCTCCCAAGTTGGCCTACGTTTAGATGACTACACTATCTCAAGAAAGCTTAAGTCTAATTGACTTAATTGTGTAATTAACATAACAAATATAAACAAGAGTTGAAAATTTGGTTACAGGGCTAAACAAATACTAGAGGACACAGTCTGAACCAATTTGTTGCACTGTCAGTGTACAGTTCTTCAGTGTCTCTAGTGAAAATCCAAC